AAGTGCAATAAAGTGAATGCATCCCTGACCAGGGATGAAAACAAGTGAAAAATGTGAACCACACTAGTAAGACTCACAATAACCCCCCAATGTCCATATAAAACCCCCCACGTAAAAAAATTAAAGTCCACAACAAATTCAGTGCTCCAAATGGACATCACACACATGCAGGTGATATATTCTTGTGACCGTGATCATAGGTGCCACTCCTCCAATAGCCAAATTGACCCCTCACCTTCTTACAAAGACCCCACAGGGCCAGCACGCTTAATGGATCACCCTTCAATCCTCACAGGTGGTACTCTTCCTGGGTCAATACCCCACTTGTGGTCATCAATAGTGGCACTCTATCCTCTCCTTACAACTCTCCTCCAGCCACTGTCACCAGCAACATTAAATTTCCTCCATGCCTTACATTCAATTTTTCTTTCTGACTGCTTATTACATTTCTTGAACTGCTAAAATTCCAGGACAGTACAAACACCCCCAAATGACCCCTTTTCGGAAAGTAGACACCTTAAGCTATCTGCTGAGAGGCATATTGAGTCCATGGAAGATTTTTTTTTTTCTGGAAAATGACAAAAACATTTATTTTTTTTACACAAAGTTGTCACTTAAATGATATATTGCTCACACAAGCCATGGGTATATGTGTAATTACACTCTAAAATACATTCTGCTACTTCTACTGAGTATGGGGATCCCACACGTGTGAGACTTTTTGGAAGCCTAGCCACAGACAGGAGCCTGAAATCCAATGACCACTTTGAAAGCCTGAAGATGTGTAACTTCCTCATTTCACTTCCTCACTAGCTATCACAGTTTCGGAGGCCCTGAAATGCCAGGATAGCACCAAACCCTCCCCAAATGACCCCTTTTTGGAAAGAAGACACCTCAAGGAATTTAAAAAGAGGCATGGTGAGTATTTTGCAGATCTAATTTTTTTCTCACAAGGTTTTGAAATATAAAAAACGGAAAGAAAAAATATGTTTTTGTTTTCTTTCTTCACTTAGAAGAAAGCTAGACTTACTTCAGCTAGAATTACTGTCCTTGATGTAACTTTCGCGGCGATACCTCACATGCATGGTGTCAAAGCTTGGGCACGCAGGTGCGAGAGCGGGGGGGGGGGGGCAGGGTGCTTTTTTTTTTTTTTTTTTTTTTTTTTAAGTTATTTTGATTTTTTTAATTATTTTTACACTGTAGCTTTTACATTTTTTTTTGACCACTGTTAATGCTATCACTGGGAATGCAAATATCCCCTATAACTTCAATGGGTATTGTCATATATTCTTTTTTGAGAAATATGAGGTCTATCAGACTCTAGATATCTCTTCTGCCCTTACATTATCTAATTTCACCAAGATAGGTGTGATCAGATGCTTTCCAAATTTACAAATGGCGCTGTTTATATCCTGCGAAACTGAAGTGATGAAATGCTCGTAGCTTCCGATTTCTTAGACTATAGAGATGATTGGCACCATTCAGCTCTATGGTCAGCTGGCAGAAACACCGCCTGCATTCTCAGGTTCTCCCGATGGCACGGGACTGCCCAAGAAGGCCGTGGAAGGCAGAGGGGGAGGGGGGCTCCCGCTGCTTGTAAAAGCAATCCTGCAGCTAATTAGCCACTAGGATTGCTTTTACATTAAAGCCGATCGCTGGCTGACAAAAACAATACCAGGATGATGCCTGCAGCTGCAGGCATCATCCTGGTATAACCATTCAAAGTCCAGTGATGTACCAGTACGTCGCTGGTCCTTTTAGGGTATATATGCTATGTTCTTTTTTTATGCAGCTCGTGGGCTGAATGAAAAAAAAGAGAAGAAATCTCTGCCAAAAAAATTGTGTGGTATGCCCACCATTAGAATATATCACCCTGCATCCACCCACTTCTAATGGTGGGCACACATGAAATGTGCCAACAAATATTATAAAATATATATGCCGAAGCATAGGGGCCATCCACCCACTGCCCACCCCAGGCCCCCATGCTTCAACATATATGCTCTTTTTTTAACTGCAGATGAAAAATCTCATCCAACAGCACTGCATACACCTACATATGTATATTCTGAGAGCAAGACCCTGTTGCTGTCAGAATAAGCAAGTCGGTGCTGCAGCTGAATGACATTCCTGCAAAGAAAACAGCAATGGTTAACAATAAAACAGTAACACTAAAACAGTAAAATTGTACCAGTAGAACGGTAACAACAATGACAACAACAAAAAAAACTAACTATTTTTGGTTTTTAAAAATTTACATTTTTGTACTTTTTGTTTTATGTTTTTTACTTTTTTTTTAAACTTTAAACTTTTTAAAACAGATTGTAGGGTCTCTCCAAATGCGATAGCCAGCTCCTGACTACCTAACATCTTTCCAGACCCTTTGTAAATATGTGCCCTGAACTGTGCCGTGCTGTACCCTATAGTAATACTCTAATAGTGTGTGGTAGCAACATAAGCAGTTCTTGAGGCAGAGACCAGGTTGGCCAGGACAGGAGGGACAAAAAAAGCTGGGTGTCATGCCTAATTCCATGTTTGTTACAGACACTACATCCTTTTTTTGGGGTGTCCTTTGGGTTGGGGCACCAGGAATGACATCGGGAAAATGCCTCTCATGCAGCCTGCTAACTGCATGTAGGTTGGGGGTTTGAGGCATAGCACCTTCTGGATACAAAAGGGCCTTGATGATCTCTTCCTGGAATTTTAGGAAGGATCCACTTTGTCCAGTTGCTTTATAAAGCACAAAAGCATTATATAGAGCCAATATAAATAGACACTTTTGTACCAGCGTCTGGCTTTTTGTGAAACTAAGTACAGCTTCATCAGGGCTTGTGCTGCTCCATGTGCTGGCATCCATATTAGGTCAGCAAAGCATTGTGGGATCCTTTATGCTTTCAGCCCTCTGCGGCTCCTCCCAGGAGGTGGCGGCTTATCACATTTAAGTCTGCTGTTTGCAGCTGTCCATTGCATTCATGTCCTGTCTGTTGCACAGCAGCAAGCTCCTGTTCAGTTAACTCTTTGCTCTCCTGGATACCGACTCAGCTTTGGCTAAGACTCCTCCTGGCTTCTGACCCCGGCTCTGGCGACCATTCTTCCTGGCTTCTGACCCCGGCTCTGGCGACCATTCTTCCTGGCTTCTGACCCCGGCTTTGGCTACGATTCCTGCTGGTTCTCGACTTGATTATCCTGGAAGACGACCTCAGCAGGAGAACATCTGTCCTACCAAGTCATCCGCTGTTGCTGTCAGACTTGCATAGACTCTTGCCTTGTTTCTGTGTAAATAAACCTACCTTTAATTGCACCTCCTTTTGTTTCTGGCTCCTCGTTCCCTGACAGTCTGTGGACCAATACAACCGCAATTAATTTTTTTTAGTAATGCCCATGTTGAGGGTTAGGCCCAAAAAAAAATTTAAATTCAGAAACCGTAATGGGTTTCCATGCAAATGGTCTGGCAAGGTTTGAATTTGGGTTGGTGGCGATAAATTGCTGTGTATATAAATTGCTTTGATCCACAATTAATGCATACAGATCCTTCGTGAAAAACAGCTCCAAAAAATCAAGGGGAGTAGTTAAATTTGCTGTTTCCACCTGAATTCTCGGTTGGGCAGTGACTGAGGGAAGTACGGGTGCTGCAGAATTTGTGGGCTGCCAATCAGGATTTGCAAGCACATCTGGAAGGGGCTCTACGGGCCCGTGTGCGAATTCTCGGTGGTTGCGTGACAATACTTGTCAACGCACCAGCTTGTACTGCACTTATGGGACTTGCCACGTCACCAAGTGATACTGCAGTGCTGGTATTATTATAATTATACAGGATTTATATAGCACCAACAGTTTGCTCAGCGCTTTACAATATAATGGGAGACAATACAGCAACAATACAGTTCAATACAAGATGGTTAGGAGGGCCCTGCTCCTTGGAGCTTACAATCTAAGAGGTATGTGAAAGATCAGGATGTACTAGGTCGCTGGTTCTTGCCAGTTCACCAAAGTGGCACTAATACTGGCACTCTGCTGCATATGAGAGTCATCAAAATTTACCAACCCGATGCATGCGCAGTAAGCGGATGGGATTTCGGGACCATACTAGGCATGCGCCTGGGCCCGATCCCATGCATGCACAGTAGGCTGACGGGATTTCGGAACCTTACTGTGCATGTGCCAGTCCCTATCCAGTAGGTGGACTGGATTTCGGGACGTTACTGCGAGAGAGAGAGAGGGGCATCATCCAGTGATGGATTCTTCCTCTGTTAGGCCAGGAATATAACCCTTTTGTGGTGTTTGTGATTATCACTCCTCCCCACACTGATTCTGGGCATTGGGATCTAAGTGAAGGGGGGGAGTGCTCTGTGTATTCCTCCCCTCCCCCTCCTGGTGTGTTTATATCACTCCCTACAACAGGATACACCACAGGAGTTCTCCCGCTTTCTGCAGCGCACCAATGGGATGTTGGATGTAGATAGGGGTGGGGCTGTGTTATTGGGTGGGGTTTTTTAGAGGCACTGATTCTATAGGCTCCTGGGTTTTGCGATTCATATTGGATTTCTTCCATCACACTATTATTTCTTCACTCAGAAACCATCAAACTTCCCGTCACATCCCCCCGGGGTCATATCCATGACTTTTCTTGGGGGGGAAATTGTTTAATTTTTGCAGTATTGAGCTGCGTCACTTTAGCTGACAATTGCATGGTCATGCAACGCTGCACCCAAATTAAATTTACATCCTTTTTTTCCCACAAATTGAACTTTCTTTTAGTGGTATTTGATCATCTGTGCAGTTTTAATTTTTTGCGCTATAAAAAAAAAAGACAGACAATTTTGAGAAAAAAACAATATTTTTTACTTTTTGCTATTAAACATGTCCAGTAAAAAAGTTTAAAAAGTCAAATTTCCTCATAAATTTAGGCCAAAATGTATTCTGCTACACGTCATTGCTAAAATAAATCCCAATATGTGTACATTAATTGGTTTGTGTGAAAGTTATAACATCTATAAATGACGGTATATATACTGGGATTTAAAAATTTTTTTTTTACTAGTAATGACGGTGATCCGCGACTTATAGTGGGACTGTGGCAGGCATTCTGACACTGGGGGGAATTGACTTGGTCTCACTGACATTCCCAGTGACACCAATACAGTGATCAGTGCTAAAAAAAAAAGCACTGGCACTGTACTAATGGCAGTGGGCAGGAAGGGGTTAACGTGGGGCGATCAAAGGGTTAACCATGTGCTTCTTTGTAAGCACACTGCTTTGTATTGCTGTGCAGAGCCATACAAAGCAGTGTGCAGGAGCTGACAGGGGAGAGAACTGTTTTGTTTACATACAGGTCTCTCCCCCGTCAGAAATCCTTGGAGATTGCTAGGTGCCGGCCAGGAATTACCGACCGGGACCCAGTCATTGACAGCTGAGGTCGCGAATGGCTGCGCAGGTAAGGTGCGCACACCCCCTACCCAGGACTGCAAAATCACATATACAGTTGTGTTCAAAATAATAGCAGTGTGTTGAAAAAAGTGAATAAAGCTCAAAATCCTTCTAATAGCTTTTATTTCCATACATACAAATGCATTGGGAACACTACACATTCTATTCCAAATCAAAACATGAAGAAAAATATTTAAAATTTGTGTTGTTCCTCTAAAAAAATTAAAGAAAAGTGAATATTAGACTGTTCAAAAAAATAGCAGTGTTTGTATTCTTCTTTACAAACTCAAACATTCACTATATAAACTGAAAAATATTTGAAGATTTTGCTTTCCTTTGAATCACTTAATAAATATTTAGTTGTATAAGCACTGTTTCTGAGAACTGCTGTACATCTGTGTTGCATGGAGTCAACCAACTTCTGGCACCTGTGAACAGGTATTCCAGCCCAGGATGATTGGACTACATTTCACAGTTCTTCTCTATTTCTTGGTTTTGCCTCAGAAACTGCATTTTTGATGTCACCCCACAAGTTTTCTATTGGATTAAGATCCGGGGACTGGGCTGGCCACTCCATAATGTCAATCTTGTTGGTCTGGAACCAAGATGTTGCACGTTTACTGGTGTGTTTGGGGTCGTTGTCTTGTTGGAACACCCATTTCAAGGGCATTTCCTCTTCAGCATAAGGCAGCATGACCTCTTCAAGTATTCTGATGTATTCAAACTGATCCATGATCCCTGGTATGCGATAAATATAAATAGGCCAACACCATAGTATGAGAAACATCCCCATATCATGATGCTTGCGCAACCATGCTTCACTGTCTTCACAGTGTACTGTGGCTTGAATTCAGTGTTTGGGGGTCATCTGACAAACTGTCTCCGGCCACTAGACCCAAAAAGAACAATCTCACTTTCATCAGTCCACAAAATGTTGCTCCATTTCTCTTTAGGCCAGTCAATGTGCTCTTTGGCAAATTGTAACCTCTTCAGCACGTCTTTTTTTCAACAGTGGGACTTTGCGGGGGCTTCTTGCAGATAGCTTGGCTTCACATAGGCGTCTTCTAATTGTAACAGTACTCACAGGTAACTTTAGACCTTCTTTGATCTTCCTGGAGCTGATTGTTGGCTGAGTCCTTGCCATTTTGGCTATTCTATCCATTTGAATGGTATTTTTTTGCTTTCTTCCACGTCTTTCAGGTTTTGGTTGCCATTTTAAAGCATTTGCGATCATTTTAGCTGAGCAGCCTATTATTTTCTGCACTTCTTTATGTTTTCCCCTCTCCAATCAACTTTTTAATCAAGGTACTCTGTTGTTCTGAACAATATCTGGAACGACCCATTTTCCTCAGAATTTCAGAGAGAAATGCACTGTAACCAGCATGTACAACATTTGCTGCCTTCCTAGAACTCCACACTGCTATTATTTTGAACATGCCCCTTTCAATTAATGATTCAATTACACAGAATCAGCAGCATGCATTTCATGACTGTTGGGTCTGTTGGATTTCTAGTACTCTACTACACCTGCTAGTAAATTATTTGCCATGTAGAAATATCATTTCTACCAAAAACAGTGATTGATCAGGTTAGTGATGTCTGACTGCTATTAATTTGAACACAACTGTACATTGATTCTGCGCACCTGTGCCGCCCTGTAGGAGTTATTTCTGCTATAGAGGGCGCGGAAACAGTTAAAAAGAATGTAGCTGTATGCTGCTAGTATGCTCACTGCTGTACAGTCACACATGGTCACATTGTAATATTTACTTACTTGACATTTACATTATTGTCAAAGCTTAATTGAAGAAGCTGACCTTAGAAGCTGATTGGTTAATATGCATAGATTCTCTGTGTACCAGTTTTAGTAAATCTACCCCGTAATGTGCTGAGGTTTAATAATGATGATGACAATGATGGTATAGACCAGGGGTCTCCAAACATTCTAAACAAAGGGCCAGTGTACTGTCCTGCAGAATTTAGAGGGGCCAGACTGTGGCAGTGGGAGTTTACAATGTATTGAATTAGGGAGGGAATAGTGCCCATCATTGGTGTCGGTGGTAGGAACTGTGCCCTATCGTTGGTCTAAATGGGAAGAATAGTTCCCAGTCATTGGTATTGTTGAGAGGAATGGTGCCCCAACGTAGGTGTCAGTGGGAGGAACAGTGCCCCATCTTTGATGTTAGTGGGAAGAAAAATGCCCCATCCTTGGTATCGGTGAGAGAAATGGTGCCCTCCATCAGTGGAAGGAATTGTGTCCCAAGGTTGCAGTCAGTGGGAAGAATAGTGCTCCATCCTTGGTGTCAGTGGGAGGAACAGTGCCCATCCTTGGTATCCGTGGAAGGAACAGTGCCCCATCATTGATGTCAGTGGGAGCAACCGTGCCCCATCATTGGTCTAAATGGGAAGAATAGTGCCCAGTCATTGGTATCGGTGAGAGGAATGGTGCTCTCCATCAGTGGTGTCAGTGGAAGGAATTGTGTCCCGACGTTGCAGTCACTGGGAAGAATAGTGCTCCATCCTTGGTGTCAGTAGGAGGAACCGTGCCTCATCCTTGGTGTCATTGGGAGGAACCGTGCTCCATCATTGGTCTAAGTGAGAAGAATAGTGCCCAGTCATTGGTATCGGTGAGAGGAATGGTGCCCTCCATTAGTGGTGTCAGTAGAAGGAAGTGTGTGTCCCGACGTTGCAGTCAGTGGGAAGAATAGTGCTCCATCCTTGGTGTCGGTGGGAGGAACTGTCCCTCATCCTTGGTGTCGGTGGGAGGAACAGTGCCCCATTCTTGGTGTCGGTGGGAGGAACAGTGCCCCATCCTTGGTGTCGGTGGGAGGAACAGTGCCCCATCCTTGGTGTCGGTGGGAGGAACAGTGCCCCATCCTTGGTGTCGGTGGGAGGAACAGTGCCCCATCATTGGTGTCAGTGGTGAGGAGCAATGCCCCATCCTTGGTGTGGGAGGAACAGAACCCCATCATTGAAACAGTGCCCCATCATTGGTGTCATCCGTACCCCACTATTGGTGTCAGGGGGAGGAATAGTGCCCCATTGTTGGTGTCAGTGGGAGGAAGGGACAGATACAGTTGTGTCCCCATCCCCCAATGCTGTAAAGGGGTTTAGGGACTATAGTGTACATTTGGGAATTGTATTCAGAATCAAATCCTACAAGGACGTTTGTAACTACCCAAATGCAACTAAAATGACATCTTATGTAATACAGTAGTAAATGGTTCTTATGTGGTTTCTTCATTGCCACAATTATTCAACCCCTTAAAGACCAGAAGAACAGTGGTGCTTTCCATCATCATTGTCATCAGTGGGCAGGAACCTGTGCCCATTTCTAGACATTGGTTACAAACATGGTGAAGGCAAGAGAATGGTCCAGGAAGTACAAGAGAAGAGGTGATGCCCCATCCTTGGTGTCAGGTGGGAGGAATAGTGCCCTCATGAAGCTTGGAGAGAAAGTCCCCGTGTGACTGCTGAGGAACTGAGAAAAGATTTGTCAGGTGTGGGTACAGAAGTTTCAGCCCAGACAATAGTAGGCCACAATTTGGAACCCCAGGTCGGTGAAGGGTATGCCCCATCCTTGGTGTCGGTGGGAGGAAAAACAGAACTGTTGCCCAGCCTACTGTCAGGGTGGAGGAAATTTAGTGCCCCATCCTTGGTGTCGTACCAGTGGAGGAACAGTGCCCCATCATTGGTGTCAGTGGGAGACGTTGGACCTTTCAACAGGACAATGATAGCATACCTCCAAGTGCCTAGAGCATGGTGCAGAGGAAAGGCTGGAACATAATCCAGACCAGACTTAAATGCCTACTTAAAGCCATCATAAGGTGTATGGGAAGAACAGATACCCCATTGCAAGATGAAAAGCTGTCATTTGTACTTACTAAGATTGACACTTTGGGTTGTACCCCACTATTGGTGTCAGGTGGACATTTGACATGTTATGTTATATTTGTCTGAGTGCCCCATTGTTGGTGTCAGTGAAGATAAAGTGCTCCAAAACACTCATTTTCAGTGGACGGCCTTTTGGACACAACTGTACAAGTAAAGGACCACATCTGGCCCCAGGGCCACAATTTGGAGACCACTGGTATAGATGAAGGGATTCCCAGCCACTTTGTTTACAAAAAGAATGCAGCAGCCAGGAAATGTCATTTAACAGCAATTTAAATGTTATTTTTGTCATCAGTACATATCCTCAGTGGCAGTGCCCGGCTCCCTATGCCCTTTGTTTGATAATCCGATGCCTATTAGCCTTAAACTGGTTATGTTTATAAACAGAACAAAGCCAGCAGAGAAATGTCATTTGACTTTGACTTTGGCACATCCTTCAGGTGCGCCACATCCTTGACGGGTTTCCGGTTCCCCCTAACATATTATTTTAGGGAATTGGGAAGTTTGAATGTTTCACTTTAAGGGCGCATGTACACTGCAGCTGCTAAACTGACAATCAGGAGCTGTTGAGCGTTTTTTTTCAGCAGCCCCTGAACGCTCCCTAATGTTTCCCCTATGTGTCATGTACACACAGTTGCTTACAGGCAGCTGAGTTTACAGTCGGTTTTTTGAACGCACCAAACTTGAATTCAACAGATTTTACTGGTGTTTCAAATGCCAAACGCTTGTAAATGCAGTTAACTGGGTATATAAGGATTTGCGTTTAGAAGCGTTTTATAACTGTTCCATATCCAAATGCTGTCCAGAGCCTATTTACTTAATCAAAAATGCATGCAAAGTGTTTTCCATGTTTTCAAATGGACCTAGTACACCAGTGCAGTCAGTTCCGGGTTTCGTGTGAAGGACAAAATGGTAGAACGTGCTGCATTATGATGGGATCCATAGTGAATACAACCAGAAAAGACAGGTAATCTTAACACATACGGCTCTCTGCTTCTGCTCTCTCTATTTCTCTCAAAATGTCTGAAATAGTTAATTATTTACTATTTTTCAGTGCATTCTGGGCATTTGAGAGGGTCTCCTGAGGTTATCTTTCAAAAATGCTTCTGAACGTAAATGCGCATAAACGTGTCTAAACGCGACTAAACTGAAGTTTTTTAACCTACGTGTTCCAGCAGTCAGTTTCCATCGTTCATAAGAGTTTTCTAAACGCCCCGTGTACATGAGCCCTTACTCTTTAGCCACTTGGAGTATCTTGTCATGTGATGGAAGCTGTGGGTCGTAGTGGGGGGCCCAGGTCAACTTTTGTATCAGGACCCACAAGCTTTGAGCTACACCTTCACATATTAGCCTTCTTGTGAGTCATGTCATATCTTCCTTCATGTGTTGGCCACCTGTTAGAGTGTTTAGAAATGGAATTGATGAAATCAATGATGAAGTCAAAATTTAAAGTGACAACAAGTAACATCTGTCACAGTGCTGTTTATGCTGTTTTTTTTCTGGAAAAAAAAAAACAAGTGCATTTGAAAAATCTTGAATGGCAGATTATGAAGGCACCACTATGTTTACATGCTAAGGTAATAGATAGGTTTGCTATAAAGATCTGACAGCGGTCTATGTAAACATGCGCCTACTACCGGATAGAAATGCACTAATTTAGTAGATATCTAAGCTGAAATTGAATGTGAACCCAAAGTTTAGAATGTTTTTAATACTTTAAATCAGTGGTGTTCAACATATGCTCCATAGACTGTATGGTGCCTGCAAGCACTCAGCATGATTGTTCTACTGCATCCCTCAGGTCTAGAGCAGAGGCGACTGCATATTGAGCACCAGCAGCCTAGGACAGAGCAGATGCAGCTGTGTCCTGTGTTTCCTTGCAGCAGCAGATCACTGTTGTACTGATCTATTGCTGGATAATTCAGCCTTTGATCACTTTTAAACTATGTTGTTGCTGTATAGCTTTATGCAGTGGGGTCGGAAGGCTGGATCAGGCACTCTTCTGGGTTAAAGAAAAAAAAAAAATGTAAAAATCCCCTGCAAGGTAATCTCATAATGTGCTAGCATGCATTGAAGGATTCACCTTAAAATGAAGCCCTCCAGGGGCAAGCTGTCAAAGCAGCAGAGGCTTCCATCTTCACCCGGTCTTCCTTCCCGGTTCACGAGCCATCTGATTGGCCGAGCCGCGATGACATCACTCCCACACATGTGCATGGGAGTCCTGGGCCATGGCATAGTACTCTGAAGGAACGCCATGGGTAAGCCATTCTTTCAAAGAGCATGCACCGGCTGTAAGAAAAAAAAAAAAAAAAAAAAAAAAAGTGTGCACAGGAAATATTAATTTTACCTACAGATAAACTTTAGTATAAGCTTACCTGTAGGTAAAAGTATACACAGGGGCGGACTGACAACTCATGGGGCCCCCGGGCAATAGGGGATCATGGGGCCCGTGTCCTTGCCCATACTCAAAAAGCCTATGAAAAAGGTACCAGGAGCATCTCATGGAGCCCCCTACTGACCCGGGCCCTCGGGCAGTGCCCGAGTTTCCAAATGGTCAGTCTGCTCCTGAGTATACAATATAATAACCACTTTAAATGAGGGCCAGTGTCATTTGACCCCGTCCATTAAGCTAGAAGTTTTTTTATGTTCAACACAGCAGGCTGTATGAAAAGGAAAAACAAAAACAAAAAAAAACAAACAAAAAAGAACAAACAAAAAAAAAACATCACTGTACTAAAACAAGCTAAGTTAGTGCAGTGGTGTCTCCCACGGAGCTATTGTATTTTAACAGGGTGAATACCCCCTCTCTCTAGAACACACTGACCACTGCTAGCAGCCTTTGAACGGATATGGGTCGGATGCTGGTTTTCCAGCATGTCTGTTTGACAGAAGCCGGTTGTGAGAGCAGCTTATACACGGACTGAAAGTTGGCTGGTTCCTGCTGATCCAACCAATTAAGCCTGTGTGTACAAGGCTTTAGCCTAGGTTGTCACCGACAGACCCCGAGGGTTGGTCACCACCTCTACCTGGATTCACAGTAGATTACTGTAGAGTGGCCTTATAAGAGCTGCTCTCTGCAGTATGGAAGACTGTCACCATTGGAAGAGGTCATGTGAAGACTTTACCATTTTAGGTATGTACAAGATGAATTTAAAAAAAAAAAAAAGATACAGGGGAAGGATGGGATGTTGCTATTTTTCTCTTTTTAAATTATCTTTAAAAAAAAAAAAAAAAAGTCCCCATAAATACATTTGATGCTCTTGATAAAATTTTTGAATGGCATTTAACAACTGTGTAAGCCAACACAATGAATGTAATATTGTAACAATCATTCTCTGCACAACCTGATATGATCTCATCCTATCTTCAACCACTTGCCCTCCAGAGGATTTACCCCCCCCCCTTCTTGACCAGGCCATTTTTTGCGTTATGGCGCTGCGTTCATTTAACTGGACGATTGCGTGGTCATGCAACGCTGCACCCACCTGAAATTTACAGCCTTTTTCCCCCACAAATAGAGCTTTCTTTCAGTTGTATTTGTTTGCCTCTGTGTTTTTAATTTTTTTGTGCTATAAACAGAAAAAGACCGACAATTTTTGAGAAAAAAAAACAATATTTTGGACTGTTTGCTATTTAAATATTTTCCAATAAAATAAAAAAAATCTAATTTCTTCATCAATTTAGGGCAAAATGTATTCTGCTACATGTCTTTGCTAAAAATAAATCCCAATACATGTAAATTGATTGGTTTACGTGAAAGTTATAGCATTTATAAATTGCGGTATATATACTGGAATTTTTTTTTTGTACTAGTAATGGAATTTTGTTTTTATAATAGTAATGGCGGCGATCAGCGACTTATAGCGGGACTGCAGCGAGCATTCTGACACTGGGGGGAACTTTACTTGGTGTTACTGACATCCCCAGTGACACCAATACAGTGATCAGTGTTAATAAAAAGCACTGACACTGTACTAATGGCAAAGGGCAGGAAGGGGTTAACATGTGGGGTGACCAAAGGGTTAACTGTATGCTGATTCACACTTAGCTGTGTGTACGCTTTACACTGTAAGCATGCTGCTTTGTATGGCTCTGTTGGAACCCGGTGATTGACAGCCGAGGCCCTCTGATGCTCACTGGAGGGCTGGGCTGTGGAGGTGTCGGGAGAGGAGGACTCCTGCTCTCAGAGGCTCGCCGAGAGGAAGAGCCAGGTGCCAGTCCAGCCTTCTGCGTGGATCCCGACCATATGGTTGGGATCTTTTCAGAGCATGGACCAGCTCTGTGATGTCAGCCGATAGTGGGCTTCAGCCTGTCAGCTGAAATGTATAGCTTTGGCTATATAGTACTGTGCAAAAGTTATAGGCAGTTGTGAAAAAATGCTCTAAAATAAAGAATGCTTTCAGAATTAGAAGTGTTGATAATTTACTTTTCATTTAATTGATACAAATAAACTAACAGAAGAGAAATCCAAATCAGTTGGTGTGACTACCCTTTGGCTTTAAACCAGCATAAATTACAGGCAGATACTTATCTATTATATATCAGTGAGGCGTGTGATTGACCCCAAACAAAACAGCCATTAAGAACTATCTTCAGTGTAGAGAAGCACATGGAGTCCTGGAAGTGATGGTTTGGTCCCCACAGAGCCCTGATCTCATCATTGAGTCTGTCTGGGATTACATGAAGACTGAACGATTCGAAGCAGCCTACATCTACAGAAGATCTGTGGTTAGTTCTCCAAGATGTTTGAAGCAACTTACCTGCTCCCTCAAATATTGTGTGCACAAGCACTCTGTGTACATTGAAGAATTGAAGTTGTTTTGAAGCCAAAGGGTGTTAACACCAACTATTGTTTTGATTTGGATTTCTCTTCTGTTCATTTATTTTCCTTTTGTTAATTGATCAAAATAAACTATTAACACTTCTACTTTTGAAAACATTCTAACTTTACAGCATTTTTTCACCACTGCCTATAGACTCCAGAGAGAGATATCATTTTACCCCTGTACTAATCATTAGTAAAACCTCATCTGCAATATGCAGTTCAGTTTTGGGAACCAATTCACAAAAAGAACATTTGGGAACTGGAGAAATTACAGAGAAGGGCAACTAAACTGATACGAGGCATGGAGGAGAGCTCAGCTATGAGGAAAGATTAGAGGAACTAAATGTATTCTCTCTTGAGAAGAGGAGATTAAGGGGGATATGATCAACATGTATAAATACATCAGTGGTTCATATAGTGAACTCGGTGTAGAGCTATTCACCCTGAGGTCATCACAGAGGACAAGGGGGCACTCTTTACATCTGGAGGAAAAGAAATTTAATCTCCAAATGTGGAAAGGTTTCTTCACAGTGAGAGCTGTGAAAATGTGGAATAGACTCCCTTAAGAGTTGTTTCTGGCCAGCTCAGTGGATTGCTTCAAAAAAGGCCTGGATTCTTTCTTAGATACACAGAATATAACTGGATACTGACATTTATAGGTAAAGTTGATCCAGGGAATATCCGATTGCCTCTCGGAGGAACAGGAAGGAATTTTTTTTCCTAGCAGGTGCAAATTGGATCATGTTTTGCTGTTTTTTTTTGCCTTCCTCTGGATCAACTGTGGGTTTAATATTATTATTATTATACAGTATTTATAAAGTGCCAATGGTTCACTCAGCGCTGTACATTACAAAGGGGGACAGAACATGTGACAGAACAATAACAATACAATGCAAAACATGAGGGGATCGAGGGCCCTGCTCTTTCAAGCTTACAATCTAGGAGGGAGGGGGTGGTGGCACAGGAGGAGATAGCTGTGGGGGATGGAGTGGTAGGAAGAGTGGAGGAGGTCGGTCAAGTTAGCAGGGGGTGGGGTAGGCTTCCCTGAAGAGATGGGTTTTCAGGGTGCACCTAAATGAGAGGAGAGTAGGTGATAATCTGATGGTTTGGGGCAGGGAGTTCCAGAGGATGGGTGACACCCTGGAGAAGTCCTGGAGGCGGGCATGAGAGGAGGAGACCAGGGAACTAGAGAGAAGGAGGTCTTGTGAGGAGCAGAGTGTGAGTGCTGGGCAGTACTTGGATATTAGGTCAGTGATGTAGTTCGGGGCAGTATGGTTGACGGCTTTGTACGTCAATGTTAGGATTTTGAATTTGAACCGTTGCGCAATCGGAAGCCAGTGGAGGGATTGGCAGAGGGGGGTGGTGGAAACGGAGCGGTTGGAAAGGTGAATGAATCTGGCAGCTGTATTCAGGATGGACTGAAGCGGGGATAGCCAGCGCCGAGGCAGGCCAGTGAGGAGGGAGTTGCAGTAGTCGAGTCGTGATATGATGAGGGAGTGGATGAGCTGTTCAGTGGTTTCTGGGCTTAGGAACGTGCGGATTTTGGCGATGTTGCGGAGCTGGATTCTGCACTAGTTTGTTAAAGATTGGACTTGGGGCTGGAAGGATAGGTTGGAGTCCAGAATGACACCAAGTACTCTGGCCTGCAGGGTGGGTTTGATATTGGCGTTGTTGGATGTGATGGAGAAGTCAATGGGGGGTGGGGTCCGGGCTGGGGGGAAGACAAGAAACTCGGTTTTGGAGAGGTTCAGTTTAAGAAGTGGAGCGACATCCAATCTGATATGTCGCTCAGTAGGTGTGTGATTCGGGCAGAGACCGAGGGGGTGAGGTGGGGGTTGAGAGATAGATTTGTGTGTCGTGGGCATAGAGGTGGTAGTTTATGCCGTGAGAGTGTATGAGTTGGCCAAGGGAGGAGGGTTTAGGATTATAACTTTTTTTTTTCTGTGGTTGAACTGGATGGACTTTTGTCTTTTTTCAGCCAGACTAGCTACATAACTTGTGCACAATACTGTACTTCTCCTTTAATTAAGAATCACAACAAGGAATTATGATGAATATAATGATGCATAAGAAATAGCTTATAGATCTATTTTTAAATAAGCATGTGTTAATATGATCAAGTAATATACAATTACTCCTAATCATGTAGGCTTTAATTATTTCTCTGCTCTATGATCGCATAAATGTTGTCTATGTAATTTATACTACTTCAAATAAATGGCAGCTGTACAATTAATGTCTTTCTAGTGGTTTGTGACTGCACTGAGTATGTTCAGAGACCCGGGAGTGTGTGAAGTACTGCAGCATTCATCTCTTTTGTTCACCAGTTACCACTGTTGCGCCAAAGTGGTAGTTTACAGATTTTCTCACCTTTTTTACTTTTCGTTAAGATGGCTACATGCCACCATTCTGCTTTTGCTTTAAAATTATGCAGTGTGAGGGCCTACCTGATTATATAGAAATCAAACTGAAGAGGATTAGAACTGCGGAAGCTGTGCCCAAAAAAGCAAGCAGAGGGCAAGCAACTAATCACCTGTATTACCTACAGCTCATTGTATGGGCTCATACACATTAGACGTTTGCCCAGATCTCCTAAATTGCCTTTCTCCTGGCAAAAAAATCCACCTAAAGCAGCATTTTTGTAAATGTGTTTAGGAGTGCTTAGATGCAATTAGGTGCCTCACATGCTTGGGCATAAAACTAATTTCAATGGGCAGAATATATTATTATTCTGGCCAATGATATGAATTAACATTGAATGCACTGACAGTGTTTTTTTTCTGCCTCTAAACCTCTATGTGTGAATGGACACATAGGCTGACATTAAGCATTGTTTAACAGCTTGCCCTGTAGCATAAATACTGCTACAGGGCAGCATGGGTGTGCAAATACACATATATGTGATTTTGCATTTCCGGGTAGGGGGCACCTTACCATAGCTGTCAATCACTGGGTCCTGGACGGTAATTACTCGCTGGCGCACAGTGATTTTCGAAGATCTACGACGGAGAGAACTGTTTTATTTACTAATATATCTCCTCCCTATCAGCTCAGGCACAGCAAAGCCATCCAGAACAGTGTGATTACAGTGAAGCACACTGACACCGCCCCCTAGTAAAACACTCCCTGCACACAGTTAACCCTTTGATCGCCACTAATGTTAAGCCCTTCCTGCCCAGTGCCATTAGTACAGTGTCAGTGCTTTTTTTTTTTTTTTTTTTTAAGCACTAATCACTATATTGGTGTCACTGGGGATGTCAGTGACACCAAGTCAGTTACCCCCAGTGTCAGAATGTCCGCCGCAGTCCTGCTACAAGTCGCTGATCACAGCCATCACTAGTAAAAAAAAAAAAAAAATCCCAGTATATATACTGCCATTTGTAAACGCTATAACTTTCACATAAACCAATTAATTTACATGTATTGGGTTTTTTTTATTTTTAGCAAAGACATGTAGCAGAATACATTTTGGTGTAAATTTATGACGAAAATGCACAGGCGGTCAAATATCACCGAAAGAAAGGTCAATTCATGGGGAAAAAAAAAGTCCGTAAATTTAATTTGGGTGCAGGGTTGCATGACCGCGCAATTGTCAGTTAAAGTAACGCAGCGCCGTAATAGAAAAAATGGCCTGGTCAGGAAGGGGGGTAAATCCTCAGGAGGGCAAGTGGTTAAAGGCAGAAAAAAGTCAAAAAGGTCATAAAAGTGGAGTTTCTTTATAGTACATCACAAACAAAAAGCAGGCTATTCATGACTATGTAAGTTATATGCCATCTGTAGGTGAATGGACACTGGCCGACTAATCAGAGAGGAGGTCCTCCCCTATATAACCCCCCTCCTACACAGTAAGTACTTCAATTTTTTCAGTATCTGTAAGGTGGATGGTCACTGAAAGTGTTGCTTGTGTTCCTGGAGCATACCTAAGGTCTAGTACGGTTCCTTTGAGAATCATGGACTTTAATCCGATCCATTAGGAAAGCTGTGAGCCAAAGTGGATGGTACCCAAGCCTTGCTGGATAAGGAGAAGAATCCTCTGGGTTTTGCCTGTAATGCAGCCTTATGGTGCTGGGCCCCGCGCAGATGGAACCCTGTGCAGTTTTAAATCTGACCAAGGCGCTTTACAGCAGGGTGCTATACAGGTCAGAGACAGCAGCCCCACATTATGGGGACAGGTCCTTAAAGGTCCGTATGACAATGCCTGCCATGATGGGTGAAGGTTGGTGCCTGGTGGAAGGCAGGGACTGGTTAGATATCTCCTTTTTTTTCTCTGT